AAAAAAAAAAAAAGAAAATTAAAAGTTTTTTAAAAGTTCCTGTAATTTAAAAAATGGAAACCACAGAAAATTTTAGAGATTATTTAGACATGATAAAATAATTATCACTAAAATGCTAACTACTAGAATAGCTGAATTTAGTCACATTATGCTAAGTTATTGCGGAGTTTAAAAGTTTTCTTCAAAGTGTTTAGTTTTATGTATAAGTTCAGTAACAGCTACATAATTTTTAAGAGCATCAGGAGTCTTTAGTATAATCTTATTATTCTAGTTATTGAACTTTAAGGTAATACATTCTGCCTTTCTTTACAATCACATAAAAAGCTTATAGGAGGCCGGGTGCGATGGCTCACGCCCGTAATCTAGCACTCTGGGAGGTGAAAGTGGGTAGATTGGTTGAGGTCACCATTCAAGACCAGCCTGAGCTAGAGTGAGACCCCATCTCTAAAAAATAGCGTGGCATTGTGGCAGGTGCCTGTAATCCCAGCTACTCGGGAGGCTGAGGCAAGAGAATTGCTTGAGCCCAAGGGTTTGAGGTTGCTTTGAGCTGACACCACAGCACGCTACCAGGGGTGACAAATACTCTGTCTCAAAAAAGAAAAGAAAAGAACTCAGAGTAACTTTTAGCACTGCCAAGGAAAAAACTGTATATTTCTATTGTAAGTAGCTGTATAATTCTATTTCTACTGTAAGTAGCTCAATCTTATCAAGGAGAAATCTTTTTTTTCCTTGAGACAGAGTCTCACTATGTCACCCTCTGTAGAGTACCACAGCATCACAGCTCACAGCAACCTCAAATTCTTGGGCAAAGTGATTCACTTGCTTCAGCCTTCCAAGTAGCTGGGACTGCAGGTGCCCACCACAATGCCTGGCTGTTTTTTGTTGCAGTTGTCATTGCTGTTTAGCTGGCCCAGGCTGGGTTCAAACCTGTCAGCCTTGGTGTACGTGGCTGACACTGTAACCACTGTGCTATGGGCACCAAGCCTCAAGGAGAAATCTTACTGAAGAAAAATAATATACCACTGAGTGCTCTGAGAAATATAAAACTTGTACAAAGGTCACAGGAATCACTGAGGCAGGACTGATTATTTGTATGAAAGGGAGAAAACGATACCAGATGACTGACATTGAACATATAGTACACATGTATTTGTACGGAGGGAGGGAGGAGTAGATGGGTTTGTGCATAATGATAAAGAGATTGACTTTATCCTGCACACTTTAAGAGACAGGGTCTCACTATTTTGCGCAGGCTGAAGAATGGTGGTTATTCACTGGTATAATTATGGCACACTACAGCCTCAAACTCCTATTCTCAAGCAGTCCTCCTCCCTTAGTCACCCAAATAGCTGGGACTACAGGCACCCACCACTTTACGGTCCTTCACTGGACAATATCCTTCTTTTAGATTTTGCACCAGAAAAAGCACATTTGAGTGTTGTACCTCCTTCAAATGTCCACCAAAGACCTGACTAGGGTATTTAACTCTGGCCAATTACCAAGAAATCATATCATTAAATACAGTGGGCACCAAATGTAACTCAGCTGTAAAAGTCTTTGGTCACCCCAAATTAGAAATCTTTTTTTAAAAAGGTATTATTCCATGTAATTGTGCCTTTTTGTGTTTAATCCTGGGTACTCTTTGTACATGTGCACCCTATCCTGACAAGGTAAGATGATTAATATAATATAATAGCACTTGGCATTTTGGTACCAGGTACTTGATAGGAAAACCTCAATAATGTTAATACTTATCATATTTATAGCATTTCTCCCTTTTTTCATCCTCTCACCACTTTAACTTTTAAAAATATAGGAAACAAATTTATTCTTCCCCCAATGGAAAGCACTTACTATAATTCTTAAAAAATAGTGCAAGGAATCCTATAAATACATACAACTACTACGTTACCACAATAATTAATTTTTTTTTTTTTTTTGACAGTCTCACTATGTCGCCCTCAGTAGATTGCCATGGCGTCACAGCTCATTGCAACCTCAAACTCTTGGGCTTACGCAATTCTCTTGCCTCAGCCTCCCAAGTAGGTGGGACCACAGGCACCAACCACAATGCCCAGCTATTTTTTGGTTGCACTTGTCATCGTTGTTTAGCTGGCCCAGGCTGGTTTCGAACCTATCAGCCTCAGTATACGTGGCTGGCACTATAACCACTGTGCTACAGGCACTGAGCCAATAATTAAAATTTAAAAAAAAATTTTTTTAGAGACAGAATCTCACTTTATTTCCCTGGGTAGAGTGCTATGGCATCACAGCTCACAGCAACCTCCAACTCCTGGGTGTAAGTGATTCTCTCGTCTCAACCTCCCAAGTAGCTGGGACTACAGGTGCTCACCAGAATGCCCGGCCATTTTTTTGTTGTTGTTGCTGCAGTTTGGCCAGGGTCAGGTTTAAACCCGCCACTCTCAGTATATGGGGCTGGCGCTCTACGCACTAAGCCACACAAGTGCCACCCCAATAATTAAAACATTACTGCAAAGGGCCAGGGGCCATGGCTCACATCTGTAATCCTAGCACTCTGGGAGGCTGAGATGGGTGGATTGCTCGAGCTCAGGAGTTTAAGACCAGCCTGAGCAAAAGTGAGACTCCCATATCTGCTAAAAACAGAAAAAACTAGCCAAGCATGATGGTGCATGCCTGTAGTCCCAACTATTCAGGAGGCTTAGGCAGGAGGATCACTTGAGTACAAATGTTTGAGTTTGCTGTGAGCTATGATGATGTCATGGAACTCAAGACAGAGTTAAACTCTGAACTCTATCTAAAAAAAAAAAGGACTGGCTTTTCTAAAAAAAAAAAAAAATTGTACAAAGAGTAAATGATAGCCCAAGTGATATTTCCTGTGGGTCAGTAGCTTCAACAAAAGGAAAAGAAAAGTTTCTCATTTCCACATTTTTTTTTTTTGAGACAGAGCCTCACTCTGTTGCCTTGGCGTTGATGTGCTTCAACTTCCTGAGTAGCCAGGACTATAGGCACCAGCCCCAGCCACAACATCAGCCTAGTTTTTCTATTTTGGTAGAGATGGGGTCTCACTCTTTCTTAGGCTCGTCTTGAACTCCTGAGCTCAAGCAATCCACTGGCCTGAGTCTCCCAGACTGCCAGGATTACAGGCACAGCCACCATGCCAAGCTCCATTTCCATATTCTAGTCCAGTGGTTCTCAACCTTCCTAATACCACGACCCTTTAATACAGTTCCTCACATTGTGATAACCCCCAACCATAAAATTATTTTTAATACAATTTCTCATGTTGTGGTGACCCCCAAAGAATAAAATTACTTTCGTTGCTACTTCATTTACTTCATTTAAAGGGTTGCAGCATTAGGAAGGTTGAGAACCACTGTTTTCTAGTCTAACTTATATTTGGAAAGAATAATGCTAATATTGTATAAAACAACACAGTTAGCAGACATAATAAATACCTTATTTTTTTCTCCTATTAAATCTTTTTAAGTTACTATACTTGAACCCATTTAATATAATTAATATTTGAGGAATATTTAAAAGCAATAAAAATAGAACTATTACCTGTACCAAATGTGGTTTTACCAAGGTTACTACTGATGTATAGCGCTCCAACACAGGTGGAAACCCAATTTCTAATCGTGTTTTACAATATCCCGATCTCTTTGATATTATGTCTGATTTTTTGCACCAAGGAACAAAATGCTTGTAATCTTCCATTCCTGATACTACATCATACATTTCCTGCATTGAATATCTTAAAAAAAAAAGAGAGAGAGGTGTTAACTGCCTCTAGTTATATGGTATGTTGATACTTTAAATTAAACATGAATAAAACTTACTGTGTATGAAACACACATTCTATAACAGAACATAAAGAATCAAACTCTATAATTAATCATTTCCAAATAACATAGCAAATAAAAAAGCTCTACATAGACATACAGCAGAGATCAAAATATGGCAGCCCTCAGGTAGAATCTGGTGTATAAATGTGGTTTTTAAAATTTTCATTAGGTGCCACCACTTAAAAATTTGAGAGTTTATGGGCAGCGCCTATGGCTCAAAAGAGTAGGGCGCCAGCCCCACATACTGGAGGTGGCGAGTTTAAACCCAGCCCCAGCCAAAAACTGCAAAAAAAAAATAAAAAAAGAGTTGGAGACCAGCCTGAGCAAGAGTAAGACCCTGTTTCTATTAAGAATAGAAAAATTAAAAACAAAATGAAACAAAACAAAAATAGAAAAATTAGCTGGTGCTGTGGTGAGCACCTACAGTCCTAGCTACTCTGGAGGTTGAGAGGAGGATTGCTTGAACCCAGGAATTTGAGGCTGCTGAAAGCTAGGCTGATACCATGACACTCTAGCCTGGGGAAAGAGAGTTAAGACTCTATCTCGGCTTGGCACCTGTGGCTCAAGTGGCTAAGGCACCAGCCACATACACCTAAGGTGGCAGGTTCAAATCCAGCCCAGGCCCACCAAACAACAATGA